GCATCCTTAAAAACAAATTGTGGTTGGTCATTTAACAGTCTAATCAGACGGTCTATTCTTGTCTAAGAGGAAATTTCTTGGCTAGAATAATTTGCAAAGTGGACTAGACTTGAACTTATAGTTAAAAATCTTTATATGCAAGACTACTGTAAGCTAAAGTTTGCAACTCATGTGAAAACGTAATGTAGAAGCTACAGAGCAACGTTAATGAGATGTCAGAATAAGTTAGCTGGAATAAGTTGCAAAGTGGACCAGACTTAATACCGATAGTTAAAAATCTTGGTTTGCAAGACTACTGTATGCAAAATATAACAACTCATACGGAAATGTAAGTTTTACCAAGAAATGCAGAAGCTACAGAGCAATGTTAATGAGATGTCAGAATAAGTCGTAAAGTGGACCAGACCTAATGCTGATGGTTAAAATCTTGAAACGAAAACTAAACGAAACTACAAATCAATGTTAATGAGACATCAGAATAAGTTGACTGGAATTAGTTGCAAAGTAAGTTATAAATCTTGGTATGCAAGACTACTGTAGGTGAAAATAGCAATTAATGTGAAAGCATAACAGATTTGCCAAGAAATTAGATGTAAGAATACGTTACAAAGTGGACCAGGCTTAATGCTGATGGTTAATAATCTTGGTACTAAGGACTACCGTAAGCGAAAGATAGCGACCTATACAGAAACTTAACAGTTCTACCAAGAAATGTAAAAGCTACAGAGCAACATTAATGAGTGGTCTGAATAAGATGGCTGGAATAAGTTGCAAAGTGGACTAGACTTTATGTAGATAGTTTAAAATCTTGGTACGTAAGACTGTGGTAGGCTAAAGATGGCAACTCGTGGAAACGTAACAGTTTTACCAAGAAATGAGACCTCAGAATAAGATGCAAAGTGGACCAGGCTTAATGCCGATGGTTAATAATCTTGGTACTCAGGACTACCGTAGGCAAAAGATAGCAACCCATGCAGAAACATAATATTTTTTACTAAGAAACGTAGAAGCTACAGAGTAACTTTAATGAGAAGTCAGGGTCTCAGTCAATGTAAAGACTCCCATGGTTCAATACTCTCAGGCCTCATTGCAATCAATAGGATGCAGGGTAATAAATAGAGCTGATTAGCCTACCTGCTTGTTGGCTTTGAGCACAAGGCGCAAGGTTGCAATCTGCTCCCTCTTTGTGCTCAGGAGGGACTTGAGCTTGAGAATCTCCTCCATGCAGGCCTCCTTGTCCTTGTCCATCAGTGGGGTGAGTTCACTGGCAGCCGCTCTCTGGCGGGACAGCTGGAGTGAGTGGTCCACTGCCTTCTGCAAGTGCTTGATCTGGTCACGGATGATGGCGTTGAGGTGGTGGATGTTGGTGGGTTCACGGCGGAGGTCAGAACCCGTGGCCGACTCGGGTGCTGGAGATGATGATGAAGACGAGGAAGAGGCACTAACGACGGGTGAACCCAGTGGTGTACGGACCGGGCTCTGCTCAGCAGTGAGAGGTTCTTTGGATGGTGAGTTCGACGGGCTACGAGACTCGGTGGACGTTGCGGCGTTAATCGCCGCTAAACGGCGTGCGAGCCGTGGGGTCAACAGCACACGGTAGTCGTCCTGCCCCTTGTGGCCAGTGGTGGAAATGCGCGTCGGGGTCCGGCCCTGCCGGTAATAGTCCAGCGTAACACGGTTGGGTGTCTCATTGTTGCACAGGCAGACGTGGTGGTAAAGTTGCGCTAATTCCTCGCTGAATGTCGCCAGCTCTTCTTGGGCGGTTCCCAGGATTCCCTGTGTCTCCAAGCCCGTGTTATTGGCTGCCCGCAGCTCGCGCTCCAGATTCACCGCCTTCTCCCGGCTTTCCCTGCAGCTGCGCTCCAGCTGTGCCACTTGTGTCTCCAGCGTTCGCAGCTGCACCTTGCCCTGCTCCTCCACCCAAGCTCTTGCCTCCACGTACTCATTATATCTATCCTTCACCTCCTTAAGCTCCGCCTTCAGCCCTACCACCTCCGTCACAGCTACCCTGTATTTACATTGCAGCAATTCCAGACTCGGCCCCTCCTGGCCGCCAGGGACGCATGTTGCCTCCTCTTCTTCGTCCTCCTCTTCCTCCTTGTTTTCCTTACTGCTGTGCTGGCGGCGGAGTTTCCGGAATCGCTCGCCCAAGCGATTGGCCTTCTCGTGCTGCTCCGTCAGCGCCCCCTGTGTGTGACGGAGCAAAGCCTGTGATTCCTGCAAGCTGTTGAGCAAAGACGCTTTTTCACGTTCCACCTGCAGCACATAAACAAGCCATCTAATGAGTTTACATGCAAGTCGGGCTGGTGTATGCAGGTTAGTCCTGATGCTGGTGTAGATGATAAACCATCATAACCATACAAAACATCAGTGAAATCTAGCTGGTGAGACTGGTCAACCAGCAAGGTCTTGCTTATTTAACCAACAGATATCACCATACTGTCCTCAAGTGATTAATCACAGTAGATTAAGACAATTGTTTTGTAGTACAAGTTTTCTGAAAGGTTATGTTTAAATGAAGCCATTGGATGAAGCCAGGTTCAAAACGCTTGTTTCATTTTGTTGACATATTACCGTTAGTTTTTACAGAGGATTTCTCTTTTTATCACTCTCTCCATAAATATATATATATATATATATATATATATATATATACTGTATATATATATATATTGCATTTATATAGATTTCTGGCTCAGTGAATGAAAAAAACTCAATCATCTCACAGAAAATGGCCTTTAAAGATATGCATTGTAATTGAAATCTACAACTGCAAATAGATAAATAAAATATGTAATAAAACAAACACTTAAATGTGTATTTTAAATATTTTCTTGCACTAGTCGGAAATAAGACAAAATAGCCGAATGGTTTTGCCTGTAGTGTCTTGGCTTAAACTAATGCATGCAAAGGAGCATTTTATTGCTCAGGAGACTTAATGTAGATATGCTTATTTTAATCAACCCTGTCTCATATGTTTCTCCTAGAATTAATTTAAAAGCAGGTCACACATGAACGGCGATTTCATTGTTTAACATGGATGCAAAGTTCATATGTATATGACTCAAATGAACTTGCACTAGGAACAGTGATCTCTTGTGAGAGGAAGGATATAAATAAGGCAGTAGCATGGCCCATTAGTGTGTATGGTGGTCTCATATTTCATCCCACGACACTGCAGCATCCAGTTGTAAACAGAACAACGCCTAAACCAATGCAGCAGTCGTTTCTCACTATGTAGGATCTTGAGCATGAAAGATAAGTTTAAAAAGCTTAAAAATATGGGAATTAAGAGAAAAAACAACCCAAAGATGTATAAAAGAAATATTAAAGGGGTACATTTATTATACCTCTGGGCCGGCAACATAAAGCTTTGCTGTATAAAAATGAATGCATGCTGATAGAAATTTTGATATATGGGTGTAGCTAACATAAGCTCTGCCCCTTCATACTCACCTGCTGAAGCTGTTGTCTTAGTTTCAAGATTTCAGGGCCACTGAGCTCACTAAAGAGGTCAGGGGTCAAAATTTCAGTCTTTCTCAAACCCAATGGCCTGAAGTCTCCGTTCAGTCGGCTCAAAACTGAACCCGTCGCACCCTGAAGCAGATGCCCATTGCACTTGCCACCGTCCTCGCTGCTGGGCGATGTAGCGGCTGTTGGGGTGGCACTGCCACTAGGTGGCGCTGAGGTCAGGGCGATCAGATGGGCACAGCCTGCGCTGAAACCCCCGTCACACACAGTTAGATGATGTGCTAATTCCTTGCGCAAAGTGTTCTTCTGTTCTCGCTCGCTTTTCAGAGAATCCAAAGCCTCTTCCAGTTGGCTCTCGGAGATGTCCTTCAGGCACAGTGCATCTTCTAATTGGCTGTTAAGCAAGGCTGTTTCCTCCTCCAGAACTTTGATTTCATGCTTCAAGCCTTCATACTCCACCTGAGAGAACAGAGAATAACCATTTGTTTTGATTCTGGAAATAATCTGAGACTGTTTCTAAGTAACCTGCCACAAACAAATATATGATGCTTAAATGTCTTGGTTTTACGCCTAGTTTTGAGAATATATTTTAACATTAAAATAATATAATTGAGTGTATTTATGCCATCTGTGACTTAATGGTCAGAAGTTATTTAAATATCAATTAAAAAATATGTTTAATATAAAATAAAAATATACATACAGTACTTATAAGGTTTATAAATATGTATAAACATAAATTAAATTTATAGTAATTAATTGGTCAGAAGATATTGGAATATCAATTTAAATATAAATATAATATAATTTAAAATATAAATGTAAAGACAAGTTCAGAAATGTATGTAAAAATAAATAAAATGTATAGTAGTCAACTGGTCAGAAGCTATTTAAATGTGTATTTAAAAATAAGTATAATATAATTTCACAAAAATATATAAAAATAATTATAAGTTCATAAGTGTATATAATAATAAATATTTGCATATCAATTTAAATATGTATATAATATAAAAATATATAATTACTTATATTTATAAATTAATAAAAAAATTAATACAATTTAAAGTAATCAATCAATTCACACGTGATGTTTATAACTTTAATAATAATACTTTATAATTTAATAATATAAAAAATAATATAATTTCAGATGGATGGGGAAAATTAAGTTGGGGAACCACAACAAAAATAGTAACATTTTGTCTGTCAACTGAATGCATGTTGCGTATAATGGAAGTGATCTAGTTTTGTATCAGCTAGTTTTCTGTTGTTGTTTTGAAAAATGTATTTGGTGATGACATTATTAACTTGCGTTATTATTTCTTTTGGTCTGAAACCAGAAAGGCCAGTGCAATGACATTTTTCTGGCCCAGAACCTCCTTTTCTTTAGTGGAAATGTGCGGAATGATTCTAGATTGCTCACCAGAACCGTGTCAGTGTAAAGGGGGTAATTGTGAGTGTGTTTACCTGGTTCTGCTTGAGCGTGGACACCAGTTTCTGCAGTGAGATATTCTCCTCCTCCAATTCGGTGTAGTCTTGCAGTAATCTGGCCTCTCTGAATTTATACTCCCTGATTTCCTCTCTCATCCGGCTTCTCTGCAACTCCAACATCTCATTACTCTGAGAGACACAGAGGGGAAACAGAGAAAGAAGGACAGACCTATCAGAACCTGTCATGAGGATACATTTATGATGTCAAACCTAGAATCGATTTATGCAGAGTTTCTGACCTCTCTCAGCTCCAGTAGGATGGTGCTGAGTCTCTCGTTCTCGGTCTGCGTGCAGGAGGCCTGCGATCTGCTGCTCTTCAGTTTGGCCTGCTGTTCCAACAGGCGGCCCATGTAGTACGCTTCCTTAGTGGCCGACTCCTGTAGCAACGTCTCCTCGTTGCTCTCCCCATCTTCAGCCACCTTCCTTTGGGTGGTGTACGCCTGGCTGAAGGCCTGAGGAAGAGAGAGAAGAAGAAATGCTAAATGATATGCATGCATAAAATGCATGCAAGAAACACTTCAGCTGCACCACGATTTTTACTTTAAATGTAGTATATAGTATGTGAGATCAGAATTGGCGCATCCCAAATTACAGTACATTTTAAAAAGTATGCATCTGTGCATGCAATTTGGGCTAATATTTTCCCACAATCACTTGCAATAAAGAGTTTTTCAGTTGTAAAATAATGGGAAGGAATGCAATAGCATCAGTTTTTTTATTTAAGTGAAACCCAATTGTAAGTCAATGAAATTAGCTAGATGGCAACACAAAATGCGAAAGCGGTCTGTGATTTATAAGGATGGGCGTATTGATACTGAAGTATCAAAAGTATTGATACTCAAAAAATATCAATACTAAGGTTTTTTTTTTTTCCTGTGATTTTGTTCCTTTAACAAGACATTTAATGCATACAATATGCACTGAATTGGAAGAATAACTATTTTCCTGCTCATCTGAACAGACGGAAATGCTGAAGACATAACTAATCAATCACAGAGAGCGTTCGCTCACTGCTGACACTGCATTCAAACAGGGCTGCATTTCCCAAAAGTATCATAAGAAACCATTGATGCTTTTGGGAAACGCAGCACAGAACAATTCTTATCAGATGACAGAAAAACAAAATATGTTCGAGTTATTTCACAATAAACAAATTGAAATTGTAGCCTATAGTTTGTTCAATTACATTTAATTAATGTTTATTTGATTTCAAGTAACAAAAATGTTTTCTAATGTTTTAATAAATAATAATAACCTTGGATTTTATGGTTTTCATTTTAGCTTTAGTTTAAATAACTATAATAACCCTGGTGTTTTGTTGATGTTTGTGTGTTTTTCTATCTAATATTAAAATTGTATTAGTTCAAAAGCAAAGCTGTAAACTGCAGGAGACACTGATTTGGTGACCTCACAATACGAGGTGAAGTTCAGGCAATATTGTTCATAATCTGGAAGGTGTGAGAGGAATAGATGACAACAGTGATCTCGCATAAGACACTGAGAAAATCAATGCAGCGCTCAGCCGAGAGATAGTGTGAAAAATCAATTAGGAGGTGTAGAGGAGCTCAACGCTTCAGGTATGAGGGATGACAGAAGAAATAACAGACTTATGGACAGTGCATCATGGCACAGAACTGATAACAGCGCTCAATAGCATGATAGGAGGCAGAATGACCGTAGCATTTGCTGAATGTCCAGTTTACTGTGTGAGAGAGCGTCACAGTCGCTCACTTTAATGGAGAGAGAGCTGAATGAGGCTTATTATGCGCTCAGAGGGAAGTATGTTCTCTCTGCATGGATGGAGAGCGATGGAGCCTTTTAAACAGACGCCACTGGGGTTTTCCATTAGCTGGAAATGTAATCAAACTCTCCCTGGTCAGTCAGTCCTGCTGTGCTGGGAAACTCTATGCTTTTTACACTCGGATGAGATCAGAGTTGTGGTTGAACTCTTGAAGTAGTTAGTGGGCTTTGTTAAACCAAGAATCACTATTACTATTGCTCAAACCATTTTAACCAACATCTAACTCCAGGTATTACTAACTTTGAGACCAAATTTTCCCTTGAGAGGGTCTATGAAAACCATGCAAATCTCTTATTATTGGACAACATAGTGTGACGATAATTCCAGGATGTGGCGAAGGTTGTAAAGTTAAGCTAGTTATTTAAGAAAATAAAGGTCAAAACTAGCTTAATAATTAAAATAATGACAATATTATACAGTTTTATCAAGAAAATCTGCAACAATTTACAAGGTCTCATTAGTTAATGTATTAGCTGAAATAACACGAACTAACAATCAGCAATATATTTTATTATATCATTATATAATTACTGTATTAATTTTTGTTAACGTTTAATAAAAACAATAAAAATACTTAAAAATACTTTAAATAAAAATAGAATTGTTCATTGTTTGTTCATGTTAGTTCATAGTGCATTAATTAATGTTGACAGATTAGTTATTATCATTAGCTAAAACGAAAACTAAAACCATAAACACATTTACTTACTTCAAAAAACAAACAAAAAATTAACTGACATAAAATAAAAAATACATTAAAATAAAATAAAAGAGAATAATACATTTAAATTAAATAAAATCAATTAAAATAAAAAAAACTAAACTTAATAAAACTATAACTTAAAAAAAAAACGAATAAAAATGACAAAAACACAAGGACTTTTACACACAACTTTTAAATGAAAATTTTAAAAAAAAATATATATATATCAAAATATTATAAAATTTAAAAAATAAAATAAAATGCCCAATATTAACACAAAAAGTCTATCAATGATACTATACTTAAAATGTCTTAGTAATTGTTGAAATTTACATTAAGATTAGGAAAATATTATTTCATGTTAACTAATGTAGTTAATAATGTTAACAAATGAAACTTTTTGTAAAGTGCTACCAGAAAATCATATCTGAGGAGGTAGTGAACACCTTAGCAACCAAATAACAACACCCTGGCGTAAGAAATTATAGTCTGCCTCGACCAAACTTCCACTCTAAATAAACTATTCTCCTTTCTCTACAAAGAGCTTAATTATCATAGAGATAATTCTTTCCATAATATGTAAATAGTATCTCCTGAATGTTACTTCGTCAATCGTCACCTATAAGCGTGGGAGCGGTAGTAGGCCATCAAGAACCATCTGCTGACCAAAAGGGTACTTGAATATAATTGCTAGGGATTCTAGATAATCCTATCACCTGAACATTTGGTTGTTTCCACCTGAAAGACTATCAAAGACGTGGGAACGGAAGGCTATCACTTTCATTGTTATCCGCAATTTACATTTAAGACGAAACTTCATTTACATGCGGGAAGATGAAGCGGGAAGAATAGAGTATAAAATGTTTGAGCTTAGGATGTTCGTGGTTCATTCTGACTCCGTTGAACCCAAGGTAGCCTACTACATGTAGGCCTACTTTGTCACTGATATGCTGCAATAAACATCTTCATCGAGATCTTCATCGTCCTCATCATTTTTCTTACACTGGCAACCATTCATAACATCCTTGCATGATGGCAACCTGTTTTATACAGATAAACACCACACTAATTAATTAAAAATCTAGTTAGAAATGACTCTAACCGTATAGCTGTGATGTTAAATGCTTTGCAGCAGTGAATTATGGGAAGACTCACCATATGTGATTGGGACAAGGACACAGAAGACAAAATATAGACTATGCTGAGCGGGCATTTCTGTGACGTCCTCAGGTGTCTCGTAAGACTATATTTAGTCAATTCAGTAACATGGTGTGACTCTTCCATCATGTGATATAATGAGTGACGCACTGGGCCTTTATCACAGGACTCTTATCACACTTTATTCATCCCACAAATCAGTACCTTGATTGTGACTTGATTAAGACCTTGTAATGTGGAATAATCACAAATTAAATAGATGGTTGTTGATCATGGCAACGATTTTATAATAGCATAAAATCATGGCAGCGGGTCAGTAATCTGCACCAGGGTTGAAAGGTTGAACGTTCTGGCTGATCCAAGACCAGCTTTGGCTCTTACCAAAAGCATTTGTTAGATAATAACATGCATTACATCACAGCCATCAGGTCTAATCAAGCACAATATCATGTTCATCTTCCTTTATAAAAAAATAAATGTCATCCAGTTATTCTTTACATATTCTGATGTAAGATTCTCTTCTGCCAACAACAGTCTGTTGATAATATTTCTATGTGCAATAATATTTCATACTAATATATCATACTCAAGCAACGAAATCGTGACGATCATGTCTGTGCTTCTTTGACTGAATTTCTTTAAAAAGCTTTGAGATGTACTCACTGAAAGTGAGGACACACTATACCAGTGCTGTTATCGTTAACAATGTGAAACTATTAATTAAATAAGGAATAATTGACGATGGGCTGTTGAATTATTAGAAAATAATGCTTTGCATCGTGGCTGCATCACCACCTTGGGCATTATTTTCGAATCAAGACATTGTTCAGATGACGTATTTCAAGACATCCATCAGGTTTTTGATCTTAAAACGCTCTTGTGTGTAGGATTAATTTCTTACGCATCTCATCTAGCGGTCAACAATATATCGGCCGATATTTGGCATTTTTCAAATATCGGCATCGGGCGAGAAGTTTTTCTGTTTGACCTATGTGTTCGAGGCGGGACTTTTATTTTGACGACACTGAGAACGGCAGCGCCTGCGCACACAGCGCTCACATTCTCTCTCTTCATTCGGTGCGGGATATATCGCCCTCTGAAGGGCACTTCGGAGTGAAAACAATCATGGCCGCCATATTGAAGGGTCGTTCCAAACCGAAGTGCTCAAAACTGGCCACTTCAAAGGGCCCTTCGGAATGAAGGATTTCGAAAAGTTCAACTGATGGACACTTCGGGCTCCCATGATCCTTTGCGCAGATTCTTTGCATGATGACGGCGACTCCATGTGGGCACGAGATGATGACGCAGAAGGGCACTTCAAGAAACAGTTGTTTGGTCCCCTACACCCTTCAACCCTTCGAAGCTCTCACTCCGGAGGGTAAACCCTTTGAAGGGATTAGGGCATAGGGATGAGCCCTTCCGAATGGAACGCAGGGAGAGTTTGCTGTTGCCGTTTGACCATGGCGACATGGCGTGTGGTTTGGACGGAAGCGATGGAGGCTACACAGTTCCGGGTTTGGGGGGTCCCACATGTTTATTTCGCACATAATGCGAGCAGTCAAGTTGCATCTCGACGAATGGACCGTATAGTGTGAGCACATAAATCCTGAGCTTTTGCTTGACGTCGCATGCGATTTACTTGTGAGAGTTGGTATTTAACAAAAACGTTGCGGAAATCGCACAGTGTATGCCCGGCTTAAGAAATCAGCATCGGCCGTCAAAAAAACCATCATACTTCCTCTAATTTTTGTTTGAATTGTTTCAAGTAAAGTGAACTTCGACAGATCTCTCCAGCTGAGTGCATGAAACCAAACACACACACACACACACACACACACAGACTGTGAAAATCACCCAGGAGATTCTCTTTCTTCACACAGACAAAGCTGAAGCACAGCAGCCCTCCCTCTCTCCCTCCGTCTGTCTGTCTCTCTCTCCACATTCAGCGCAGCGCACATTTCCCATGATCCCATCTATCTATCTGTCTGTCTGTCTGTCTGTCTAGTTTAAACAGTGTCAGTGGGTTTTTCAGATGTCTGCTGGCGCTGTGAGAGACAGGCGGTAAAGCCTTATAATTTTCTGTAGAGAGCTCCACACAGACACTCAGATCGATATGAAGGCCCGTGGGCCGCAGTGAACCTTTATATGTGACCCACTCTGCAGCAGAGCTCCAAAGCAGCTCAAAGTCAGTTTATTTCTGTACAGGAATTAGATCTGCAACAGAAACATGATGACTCTTAGATGCATATTGCTCAGTGTTTGTCAGACAGAGCTGGTGGAAACGATGCCTCCATGTCTGGCATGGTGTTTTTTTGTTGTATGATACAAAATAATCAGCATTAATCAGCTACTGACAGCTTTGCCATTGCCTGAATTTGTGAAAGTGATCCTGTATACTGTATATATTAACTGGTATATATTAGAATTTCTGTATATGATCAACAACAGTTAACATCATATTTGAATCAGAGAGAGCCAATAAAATAAGCAGTTATGCTTAACAAAAACTTACCAACTTGTCCAAGTTCAAATTCATCACAAAATTAAAAGAAAAAAAAAGACTAAATTAACTATATTGATGAAAGGAAGTGAAGCATATTTTCATACTGTGAGCTTTTCATGAATTATAAGCATATTTAACTAATAATAAATATACATTAAAATATATTTCATACATTTGTATTAAATAATAAAGATTGGCAAAGATATTATTTAAATATATTGTTTAAATTATTTACACTGTATTACAATAATGACACCTTTGAGCATAAACAGAATTAAAAACTATAAAAAATTTAAAAAACTTACATGTAAAATGACTGGGCACATTTGGAGAATAAAGGCAATTTACAAAATATATGTGATTGCATGAAAATAATGTAAAATTTAAACCTTGGCCCTAAAATATGCTTTGTTTTCTTTATGTAGATTAATTTAACATTGTCTTTACTCATGATTTTAGTGTTAAATGTGACCTGGATGTGCAAGATGCACCCAGGTACTTTTTTAATGAAGCCAAGTGCATGACATCACTCATCACGTGAATTATGCAGCAAATGTTTCTCTGTGCGTATTATACAACCTGATGTTCACATGTCTGCCCCTAAGTGCCTGGATCTGTCCTATCCATAATTCATAACTCAATGTCTCCAAGCTCTGGCCCGAGCACTTCAGGAACATGGCATGAAGAGATCCGTCACTGGATAATTTCAAAAGATAAAGTGGATGCTTTAAATGTCACAAAGCACCTTTTTGTCTTCATTCAACACTATTGTTTCATCACTTCATATCATGGTTTGCCCATGGTTATCTTGGGATACATATTCTAAAATCTCGTCCACGCGAGGAAAATCTGCACACATTCACACTTGAGCTGCATTAAAGCATCTCTGCATATGACACATGCTTCTCCACCGACTGATGCTTTTAGCTCTGAACTAATGCACCACTGCATTTTTCATCTGACGTACATTACCAGCCACACATGATGCACCGCCGGAAACACCAACTCCAGTTTAGAAATGAGTGATTTTCTCATCTGGAAACCACTTCAGCATGCTCTTAAAGCATATTACCACCAATCAGCAATTAGCAAATACAGTTCTATGAGTCCAAACATCTCATCAACAGCGAATAAGTAAACATTTTACAGTTAATGTGTAAATGTCCCTAATAATAAGCCATTACAGCAATCAAATTAATTATATAATCCTCCAAAAACATTCAAATGCATCACTAGGATTACAAGAACCCAATATTTCTCAAACTCTCCTTTTTTCCACTTGAATAAAGCACACCCTCAAATATCCCTATCGCTCTAAACCAGATTCAATCCTCAAAGCCTTCAGAAGACTCTCAGTCGGAGTAAAAAATGCTCTCACAAGCCATACTGAGGATTGGCTGTATATCAAAGATGTAACGGAGTGTGTTTTTCTTGTATTTGTGATATTGAAAGGAACAACTGTTGACGTTGTGTTTGATTGGCAGCTTACAAGCCACAACAGACACTGCTATATTCTGCCAATATTGCAAATGGAGGTAAACCGGCATCAGCCAATAAACTGTCAGCTCTTCTTGTTCAATATGAAAGACTGTGGGAAACGTGATTGTGAGATTCGCTCTTGAATGATTCATATGCTCAGTGGAATGCAAGTAAACTACTATAAAGCAGTTTTTGAACGAACTCCTGCTCACTATGAAGGGAATACTCAGTTGTGCACTAACAGCAGTATGAATGGCCGTTTGTAATGGGAATTCTTGGGAAGGTCACATGAGGCTCCTGGAAGCTTCTGAACTCACCGGGTTGTGGGTTTGCCAAGGAAACAGAAAGGACTCTGGGAAACATGCTTTTGCAAAAAAAAAAAAAAAACTTACCTATACATATAATTCACAGCAGTTGCCAGCTAAAATGACTACT